GTGTTTGTACAGTAGGGCTACGATGGCTATTCGAGTACAGAACCAGAGTTTCAAACCTATTCGATTGCAGAGAGGTGTAAGACAGGGTGACGTTATATCCCCAAAACTCTTCACCACTATATTGGAAGACGTTTTCAAGCTACTGGACTGGAAAGGATACGGTATTAACATCAGTGGTGAGTACATCACTTACCTTCGATTTGCCGACGATATAGTCCTTATGGCAGAATCGCTGGAGGACCTTAGCACTATGCTCAATGACCTCAATGGTGTCTTCCAACGGATAGGTCTTAAGATAAACATGGACAAAACAAAGATCATGTTTCACGTCCGTGTCACACCTATGCCGGTAGTTGTTGGAAGTACCGGGTGGCCCATAAGTCCCTTGAAATGTAAAAAAATAATTAAAAAAAAAGTAATGATATTATGAAAAAAGGTTTTTATTTTGTCATAATCCTTATAAAATGGGAATTATTTTTTGAAAATTACATCATCTAAATGTAATCCGTTACGATCGCGGCACTCCTGTAAGCGACGTTTAAAATTATCCATCACTGCGCGGCAAGTAAGCTCTGTAATGTTTGCCATTTCTCTTTGGATATTTTCTTTCAGGAAGTCAATTGTCCGCGGGTTGGTTTCGTACACTTTAGTCTTAAGATAACCCCATAAGAAAAAGTCCATTGGGGTCAGGTCAAAGCCCGGATTAAGGTTTTAGAATGTTTAAGACTGGTATCTCAGACCAGACCTTGTTGTATTGTGATAAAGAGTTTCAAGGGTTAATCGGGCTAGGCTTCTTGAGATTCCATAAAATGGCTCAGGTCCAAATTGTGAGCACTTTGAGCCCTCCCGTGCAAGTTTGTCGGCATATTTGTTGCCTACAATACCCTCGTGACCCGGAACCCATCTTAAAGCGATCCTGTTGTTACAGGACGTTTAAACGGTTCACGCAGTCTCCAACTAGCTTCGAGTTCACTAAGTTTAACCTCAGCGCTAGCAGTGCTGCTTGACTATCACAGTTTATGTAAATTATATGGTTCACGTAGTGTTTTTGCAGATTGATTTCCGCACAACGAAGTATGGCGAAAATTTCTGCCTGGAAGATAGAGGTGTATCTACCCAAATTCATGCTAAGTTTGAATTTGGGGCGTTCCCCGTAAATTCCACACCCTACGTCGAAGCCCATTTTAGACCCATCGGTGTACCATATGAGGCTAACGACCTCACAGATAACCTGGCCATTCAGCTAGTCTTCTCTGCAATTCGATGGCAAGCATGGTTTCAACCAAGATTCAGAGACTAGAATGGCGTGAATGTTATGGGATTCAAAGGACGCAAGCATGTCGGGATAATGAGCCGGAATGCTTTGGGCGTTTATATGAATTACATTAAAGTTTTTCGAATCTAAATATGAATTAAGTGCTACATTTATCGGAATTGAAGATGTTGTACTGTGGAAGCTGAATTCACTAGATGCATTATCATTTGACGACAAAGACAGGAAATCGTCAGAATCATTACCTACATCATAATTATCTAACAACATAGTAAAATGAAATAAAATATATAATATATATGATATATAAATATAAAACTAAATAGTTAAATTAAATATATAAGTAAGTACCTAAACAGATCTCTATCCCGCCAGCAGTCTGAAAGAGATGAATCAATAATAATAATAATAATAATAATAGATGCTTTTATAAATAATAATAATAATAGATGACAGACTTTTAAACATATTTAGATAAAATGTTTAATTGTTCTAAGAGCTGAACTGAACAACATTCACCAATCTTAAGCTCACAAAACACTTTTTTCTCACTTAAACAAACTTGTGAACTCCTTAGATCGCTACGAACTGTCAAAGTTGTTTAGCAAACTGTAGTTTGCTAAACAAAAAAAAAAAAAACTGGCACGGAGAAAGGGACAAACAATCACACCGCTCTGTCTATCCATCTTTTCCGTGTGCGAATGCGAAAGAAGGCGTCAATTTGCCTATAGGTTTCTCTGTCTACGGTATATGGATTGTACTCTGTCTACGGGATTGTAGAAGTAAGGAGTACAGACTGTGTATTAAAAAGTGTCAATAGAAAACCGTTAAATAAGGGTGGCACCACTATAACTACGGGGTATACTTTAAAGAACGCACCGAAAAATATTAGTGGGATAGACAACTTATTCGAGGGATATATTTACAAAATAAAATTATTTTAGATTTTAGAGCTACTGAGCAGTTTAGCAGCACACTTAAACCGTCGACAACTGCTAAGTTCATTTCATCCCAGTAGCTACTCCAGCGCAGTTGTGAAGAGTTTTTGAGCTGTTATTTACTGCATACAGATGGCCAATTTTTCAACTATTCTACTAAGGGAGTTGGTACTCCTTGCTTCTCTACACTCCATAATTCGGTAGAATCCACTAATTATAGTTCCCCTTTAGGGGTATACAAAGACTACTAAGAGGATACTACGCATGGGGTATATGTGTTCTGTGTTATAGTTAGTATGTGTCAGGGGGGGGGGGGTACACTTCCATATTTTATGTTGGGGTTCAATAATTGCAAAGACACTAGTGCCATCTTGTACTATATCCCTATAAACTTTCGAACATTAAATTCTAAAAGGTGCGCTAGATGGCGACTACACCAATTCTTTCCTCTTCTGTTTTCCATTTTTATAAATCTCATCACACTAAATCTCAAGAGCTCTTACCATTTGTATGCTGATGATCTGCAGTTATACGCGCAAGTGGAGCCTTCAAATATCCTAAGTGCTATTTCACTGTTAAATGATGATTTAAAATATATCTCAGAATGGTCTACTGTGTATGGCATAAACGTGAACCCGTCTAAATGCCAATCGATAATCTTAGGTAGCTCAAGATTATTATCTAAACTGGATTTTGCCACCCTACCATCAATTATGTTTAATAATAATGTCATACCATTCTCTACTAGCGTAAAGAACCTTGGTCTGTACATCGATGGTTGCTTAACATGGAACAAACATATACAGGAGGTGAGTCGCAAAACTACTGGAACTTTGCGATCTCTATATCGATTTAAAAACTTTCTTCCCACCAATACCAAGATTTTACTTGTCCAATCACTTATTGTACCGATTATTGATTATGTCGATATGTGTTGCTCAGACCTGTCTCAACTTTATCTTAATACATTGGATCGTCTGCTAAACAACTGCATCAGATACATTTATGGTCTTCGTAAATACGACCATGTATCTTCCTTTCGTACACAGTTAAACTGGTTGCCTATCCGTTAGCGCAGATATGTTAGAATACTCTGCACCCTTTTCTCAATTTTGAACGATCCATGTGCTCCCGAGTATCTGAAATCTAAATTTCAATACATGGGAGATTCTCATAATTTTTCTCTCCGTTCCTCGGCCAATCTTAAGTTACTCACTCCTTTACACCGTACTGGTTATTTATCTCACTCTTTCGCCCTCGTGGCCATCAGACTCTGGAACGACATCCCTCTTGACATTAAAAAAGCTCCCAACAAATTCGTCTTTAAAAATCAAGTCCGTAAGTATATGATTAAATCGTTGCAAGTTTGAATTGACTAAGCGCTCTTTTTCGTATATATTTCATATTTGTTCTGACATATATAATATTTATACGAACCTATTGTGTATATATATATATATATATATATATATATATATATATATATATATATATATATATATATATATATATAGATATATATTTATGTGTATACAGTGTATGTATGTATGTATGTATGTATATATATTCTATTATATATTATATATGTTTATATATATATATATATATATATATATATATATATATATATATAATATCTATGTATTGTTTAGTACATATATTATTATTTCTTTTATCCTCTCTATTTGATTATTGCTGCACCGCCTCCATAATGTCTATCTCTGTTTAGCCTAATGGTTGACTGGGAGAGAATGCCCTATGGCATTAAGTCCGCCATATGTACTTTTTTTTGTGCATGAAAGTATAAATAAATAAATAAATAAAATTCTGGTTACTCTGGAAATGGCAAGTAGCAACTTTATATGACATAATGGCTACCGGCGCTGAGCAAGTTGTTGTTTTATTATAGTTTATAAGTGATTTTCGGATGTTGCTACAATAAGTTGGTTAGCCCTCTGTTTCTTTGTTGTCTGTATAGATTTTCATGCTGGAATTACATTGTATGTTTGTGTAGTGTTGTGCGAAATAGACGCTTTCATTTATCATTCCGGTAACCCGGTGGACATATTTAATTTGGTTTGGTGTTGTATTTTGCGGAATAGACACTTTTACATTGTGTATGTTAAATATATATAATAAAAATAAATGTTAATATTACTGAAATCTATAATACGTCTTTAATTGAACCCTAATCCCTTAAAATATAAATATAACTGCCTATAGTATAGATAGCTGTATATACATAACTACATACAGCTATCTATAGTCAACATGATATTGAGATTAGTTCAAGGGATATGATACCAGGCAGCGACACTATTCATATTGGGTGACAAAAAATCCTAGGAGATGGCTTTCTATTTCTGTATATATTACTCTACTCTATGGTATGTGTGATAAATGTCAGAATCAGAAAATTGATAATTGTTTACTTACATTTATTTTATATTTTAATTGCGTAAATGAATGTTGTGGGGAATATTGTTTGCAAGATTGTAAAAATATAAAATGTAACTTAAATAATAACTATTTAAAAATAAAACACTGCTTCTAAATTTATTCAATTGGCGATTAATTACCATGAAAATCACATTTACATGATAATTTAATGATAATTATAAAAATAATTATATATTATTTTCTTTGATTCAAACTCTTTTCTATTTTCGCATAACACTTTTCAGCAACTTCTTAGTACAATGTGTTATAAGTCCGTTGGATATCAATTGCGATAAATTTTTTTTTTTAATACTGTACCATTTAAGAGGAAGTGATCAAAGGTGTTAGAAATGGAACAGATAGTTGTAAAAACTGAAGTGCAACCAAATGGAGATATATTATTGTTTTATGTAGATGGTAAGTATAACTAACCCTACTCATATTGTGTGAAAAGTGTGTTAAATGATACAAGCTGTTAATTCTAGCAGTAACGGAGTAATCTGAATATAGTCATCAAAGTTTTTGAATTAATTTATTTCGAAGTGAAAACTAGACACGTTGGTCACTTTTGGGATTGGGTGAAAGCATTGAACATGTATGACCATCACACTCAGATACATAAATATATAGATGTGTATGACACAAACATATACTTCATCATCATCATCATAACCCTTCACAGGTCCAGTGCTGAACATAGACCTCTCCCCAAGGAATGCCACAAAGTATGGTCCTGAGCCACCTACATTTATCAACTAAATATTGAGCCGATAATGGGCCTCAATACTATCTCTAGCATCCCCTATTAAATAGTTTTAAATGGAATTTATGTTTTATTATGTTTATTACAATTAAACCTCTGCTTGCTTTAACCATTATTTATAAGATATAATGAAAAAGGTTCACAATATACCCAGATATAAGTATTAATCAATGTATTTCACAAAGGTTTACTTCTGCTGGATTTCAAATTTAGAATTTATCAATCAGTAAGTCTTGAATTTTGGGTCTATACTTTATAATTATTTAAATGTATCTTTGATTTTCCTAATAATCAACAAACAAATAATTTATCAAATGATTATTGTCAAATTGGAGGACAAAAGAAGATGAAATGTTGAATGACAACTTCCAATTGGTTAAAAAATATTAACTGTACAGGACAATATGTTAGAATCCCACAAACATTTTATCATATGCTAAATGCACTGCTAATGTAAGAAATTTGGAGGTAACAAGAAAATTTTCATATATTTCCCTATTTTGTGTGTATATATGTCCTATTCTTGGACATATGACTCTTCTGTAATAGTTTTAGCTATAGGAAATGACTGCCATGCTGCCCTAATGCATGTTGAAGTACTTCACATGTCTTTGAAATATTTTAGTATTTCTCGGATTGCAGGTATTTTATCAACATTTTCCTTCACTGTCAAATACGTCTTAGCTCAGCATTTAAAATTGCAACAAACAATTTTGTTGGTGCTGGCAAGAATCGAACTTGGATTGCTTGAGTACTGTGAAATTTACTGTAAGTGCTTAGCCCTTAAGGGTACCATGGCAAATTTAGAGGTAGGCTAGGATGTGATGTCAGAAACAAAGAGACAGTGCAACAAAATAAGTAAACTATCCATTAATTTGAGATTTAGTATATAATTTTTCTCCAGCTGGGGTTGGAACCCAGAACTTATAGCATAGTAGCCATGTAGTCTAGATCACTGTCTTGAGAGATTTAATAGAAACCATGGATTAAAAGCGTATCTTGTTTATTACTTTTCTAATGACCAATTTGTTTTTGTCAGAAAATCGAAGTCATGGGGAGGGCGAGCTTACAAAACTTGAAAATATGACACAAGATATAGCAGTGGAGCTACAGGAAAGTGATTTAGTACTCAATAATGTTGAAGAAACTATTGATAAATATGACTTTGTGCAATGTGTTGATCAACTTAGTAAAGAGAGTTGGTTAGATGAGGAAATACAAAAGCTGCTTGTTTTCTATATTGATAATAAGGAAAGTTTTATAAACAATAGCACAGCACAGCCACAATTGTGGGCAGTCGCATGTAAAACTACACTAGAGGCTAAAAATCCATCATTGTGTGAAATTATGTTTCAAAATCTAAAACAGAAATATTCAGAAATATGCATGGAGCAGCAAAAAGGTGAAGTTACAAATTGGCCTTTCTTTGATCTGTGTCGTCAAGCTTTTCATGATGATAGAGAGTTGATAATAAATGAAAACATTCAACAGGACCAGAGTGAAAACATGCCTATAAATCCGAAACCAAATGAAGAAGGTATTTTGGTCATGAAAAAACTCAATAGTGTACGAACAAGCAGTGATGGAAAGGTGGAACAGATGTTGAATATGTATTTAAAATATAAGAAAAATCCTAAAAATTACCACTCACATAGAGGTGTATGGGAGGCTATAGCTTTAGAGTTAGGTGTAGAGGATGCTGATTATTGGCATAGACGTTTTCTCAACTTCAAACAACATTACATAAGGATGGTTTGTAAACGTAATGAAACTGGACCAGAGAAAATAAATTGGCCATACATGAAATTATTTGACGAAATATTTGATGGCGATGAGGATTTTCAGCGGAAATTTTCTTATAGATCAAACTTGGAGCAGATTGACAACATTATTGCTGTATCTAATGAAGAAGGTGAAAATAATTGGAACAATACAGAGAAAACGGTATTAGTGAAATATTATTTTGATTGTTTCTATGAATTTCAAGATCCAACAATACCTAATAATTTTCTATGGCACGAAATTGGCAGGTTATTAGATAAGCAACCTGAAAATTGTAAGCAGAAGTATAGGGAGATGAAAAAAGAACATTTTGATAATCTAATGGAAGGTGGTTATAATCTACCCAATAGAATACCAATAGCAATTATTTATGATAACATAATTGCACGGGAGACTGAAATAGAAATTAGCAAAACCCAAAAAAGAACTGATTTATTTGACTCTTGGAATACAAAGGAAATGGATGAACTTGTTCAATACTTCTATGATAATGTAGAGATGTTTAAAGATTCAGCTTGTTACTATGTTTGTTGGAATATAGTAGCAAAAAAATTAGGACGAAATATTCATACTTGTAAAAAGCAATGGGAAGAATTAACTAGACTTTACAAGTCGATATTGGAAGATAAGAAAGAAAATCCTGATATGCAAATAGACTGGCGATATATCGATATATTTGACAGAATATTTGACTATGGAATGGATACTAATTTACTTGAAGGTTATGAAAATATTAAGGTTCATAATGAAAACATTGTCTCTGATAAAGTTGGTGGTAAGTATTCTATTTTGTAAAATTACATACATACTTATGTTTTAATTTATGTGAATACTATAACTGCAAATGTAAGCTTTTCTAGTATTTTTTTAACAAACTAGTTATCTAACACTAAAAAATACCGAAACATAGTATACTGCATAGCGTTATTTTCATTTATTTAATTTCAAAAGATATTTTAATGAGGATTAGGGTTCTAAAATCCAAAAATTATTGGTATTTTGGATCTCATAGCACTGGGGTAACTTCAGATATATTTACTGGGTGTTAGTACTCCTGCCCTTCTGCATTGGAGTTTGTCTGGTTAGGTACTACCCTTTGACCAATTTCTGCCACTAAACAATAGTTCATGCACTGCTGTGTTCAGGTTGGGTATAGGAAGCCAGTAATATTAATTTTATATGTGGTAGAGCCCTGCTGCAGTTATATTAGTAGTATAGTTGTAGCTCGAATGGGCCGGCTCGACCGGGGAAGGACCACGCTCTCACACAATACCACTGTAAAATAGTAGCATAATGCTGCTGTGTTTTGTATGGTGAGTATAGAGAACCGGCGACCCTTTTTATGGCATTTTGGTGGCATTCCATCTTAGTCCTCATGGGTGACAAGGCATCTGCATTTTTGATTCGTAATTGAGGATAGATGTAGATGTTTATGGGCCATAGCAACCACTTTCCATCAGGTGGACTGTGTGCTCGTTTGTCACCCTATCCTATAAAAAAAAAGCTTATAAATTATTCTATCTCTTAGATTTCAGATGTGACAACTCATCTGTAGCCATCTTTGTTTAAAGTTGTTTGCAGGTGTCCACAGTCTGCAGTTGCCACTTACCGTTAAGTGGATTGTAACTTTTTTGCCACTACAATTTAAATAAAAAAAGATATGGGAATGTGAAGGAATGTATTCTTTGTTTGGCACTAATGTTTTATCATCATCATCAGCTTGGATACATTTCTTTGAACATACCAGCTTCGGCAGCCCATTGGTGATCGTAGTGCTAGGCCTCTAACTCCTTAGGCTATCTGTCATAGCCTGGCTACTTTTGAGTTTAATAGTTTGAGACAAATATTTCCCCAAAATCTTTAAACAGTGTGACAGATTCTCACACCTTCATTGGCTTTATTTTCGGTCCTAGAGATCACTCAATCTTTATCTCATTGGTTCTAGGACCTGTTTTGAGGATTTTCTTTATGGTTTTTAACATGTGTTTTTTAAATTGTACATCATTACTATCAGCAACCTTGTAGGTGGTTTTTTATTTTGCTTAATAAAATTGACGTGTCAAACAAACTTTCTGTCCACTCAATGGCGAGTGGTTACTGAAGTCCATACACCTGAAACCAATTTTAGATGAATAAAGCGACAGATGCATTGTCACCTCTGAGGACTAACTTGTAATGCATCATAGCCTGTTCGGATTATAATGTAAAATTAATTACAAATACACACATGATAATATTACAAGTAACAGAAAAGAAATAGGATAAAATAATATTATTCTCAAACTCACTCTCAGAAATGAGACCTATACCTATGCTCACTCATTTGGAATAAATAGAAGCTGTGACTTCTTTTTTATTTATTTATTTTTACTTACTATATACCAGTGCTTGACTATGATTCCCACACACGGAGACAAACTATTCCACTCCTTTGCTGTACACATAAAAAAATACCGAAGCAAACTGTTTGGTTTGATTGCATTGAATATCAACTCTTGATAATGTCTGGTAAAGTATCTATACTGGCAGTAGGGTGAAAGGTGTGCAATGTCAAAGTTGAGGAACATCTTGTACTGCCTACCCTACAAAATAAACCTGCAGTAGGAGAATCTTATGCTGTGGATTGTTGCCTACTTTGTTTAAAGTTGGTTGCAGGTTTTCACGGCTGTTATTTTCAGGTTGATTGTTTGCTTGTTTTTTTCATTCATCCATTATACGAGGGTGGATTGAAAAGTACTCGGCCTAACCAAGAAAATAAACACATACTAAATCAGTTATATTTTTATTTTTTTACATAATCACCATCAAGTTCAATACACTTTTGCCACCTCCCCTTCCAAGCATTTAGACCGTTGAAAAAAAAATGATTCTTCCTTAGAGTCAAAATATGCGTCTACAGCTGCTTTGACCTCGTCGTTTGTCGAAAATCTTTGACCTCCCAAGTGCTTTTTTAGGTTAGGGAACAGAAAGAAGTCTGATGGTGCCAGATCAGGTGAATACGGCGGATGCGGTAACAGTTCAAAGCCACAGTTGTGAATTTCAGCCATTGACTGTACTGACGTGTGAACACGGGCGTTATCTTGATGAAACAGGACTTTTCTTCTGAGCATTCCTCGACGTTTTTTTTTATTTCCTCTCGTAAACGACGTAGTAAGGTGCAGTAGTAATCAGAGTTTATAGTCTGACCCCTTTCAAGATAATCAATCATAATCACACCTTTCGAGTCCCAGAATACTGAAGCCATCACCTTATTTGCCGACAAAATCGACTTAGCCTTTTTAGGGGGTGGTGAACCAGGTCTTCTCCACTGTTTTGATTGTTGTTTTGTTTCCGGTGGACAGTAATGAACCCATGTTTCGTCCATAGTAACAAAACAATTCAAAAAATCATCTGCATCGGCTTCAAATAACTCCAAACAGTCGCGTGAAATAGTCAATCGCGTCCTTTTTTTGTTCAACTGAAAGCAGTCGCGGAACCCACCTCGCAGACACTTTGTGGAAACCCAACTCGTTGACAATGATGTATTGAGTTCGTTCATAAGAGATGCCTATAATCTCGGCTATCTCTCTAATTTTTAATCTGCGGTCTCCCATTATTAAATCAAGTACTTTTTTAATATTTTCGTCAGTAGTTGACGTCGAAGGCCTTCCAGAGCAGGGTTCATCTTTCACACTCTCTCTACCACGCTTATATTCTACTATCCATTTTTTGACGGATGAATATGACAGAGCACAATCGCCTAATGTACTGACCATGTCATCATGGATGGCTTTTGATGATAGCCCCTTCTTATGGAGGTACTTAATGACGGCACGCTGCTCAATTTGCTCCATTCGCGGAAATTATGTCCGATTACTTTGTTAATAAATTTATAAAATCACAACTAATTATCGCACACGTTTTGAACTTCACACAATGAACTAGTCTGAACTGAACTAAATAATGTGGGTAGATTTGATTTTTAGAATTGAATGGATCTGTGTTAGGCCGAGTACTTTTCAATCCACCCTCGTAGCCTATCAAAAGTCTGCTCTCTCTCCCAGTCGACTCTACTCGACCCAGTTTTTTTTTGAATTGTCATTAGGAAGATTCTGTTGGCTTTTACGACACTTACAGGATTATATGGAGTAGCAGATCCTTTTACGCCACTACTACACGGCAGTTGATAATGAAAATATTAAATAATGTGACTTTTTTTTACAGTGAAAAAATTGCACATTAAAGATGAAGTCAATGATGATGATTCAGATGATGAAGAGAGCTATGACGAAAGAGGCTTTACAAAACGCTCAAAACGTCGCACAGACGAATCTAAAGATTACAAAATACTTGAATACTATCAGAAAAATAAAGACAAGTTTACTGGCTCTTTACGAAAAAAGCTTTCTGTATGGGAAACATTGGCAAAGCAGCTACATATAACTGCGACTCAGTGCGCCCACCGTTTTAGAAATATAAAGCAAGTATACATGGGATATGTCCAGAAGGAGATAAATAAACCAGAAATGCCAATTCTTTGGCCCTATTACGCACTTTGCAAAAAGGTCTTTGGGTATAGGGCAATAAAGTCAAAATTAAAGAATGGTAAAAGAGATTCTGACGATGATGAAGAATGGACGGCAAGAGAAATCAAATTGCTTATTAATTATTTCTCCAACAATTTTAATGATCTTTGTGACAGTATAGAAGATGTTAGGAAATGGTCAGCATTAGTTAGTGACATTGGTAAAACAGCGACGGCTTGTAGTGAGAAGTTTTTGGAACTTCGTAAGTCCTATAGAAAATTAAAGACCATGAAATCAAGGAATCCAGAAGTTAAAGTTTCATGGAAATACTTTAACATGATTGATAATATTTACATTACTAGAGAAGCAGAAAAGCAAATGGAGGCGGATGAAGGAATGGAAACAGGTGGGATTACTGAGCAAATCGATGTCGATGGAATCAAAACCGAATTGCCGGAAGGTGAGTAACATGCTTGTTACCTCACGTTTTTACGTCATTTCTATTCCTGAGCTATATTTAAAGTTCCAATTCTCTGAGTCATGTAAAAATTAGTTTAAAATCGATTTCCAAATTTATACCGAACAGACAAACACCCGGACAGACAAGAAAGTGAGCTTATATTGTATTGTCATCCAGCTCTGAGGTATATTTAAAGTCGCTAACTCAACGGGAAGTTAGTTTAAAATCAATTGCTAAATTTATACCGAACAAACAAACAAACATACAGACAAGAAACTTTGTTTAAATTGTATTGTCATCCAGCTCTGAGCTAAATATAAAGCTTAAAATCTCTAAATCAACAGGAAGCTAGTTTGAAATCAATTGCTAAATTAGTATCGAACGAACAAGAAAGCTAGTTATTAAAATCATGATAAATAAGGGGTGTGTTCCGGAACGTTTCCAGTATACTGCCGAATACAAATGACGTCATCAATTGACTCAATATTGTACTGGCGTGCCGCCGTCATATTGTGTCGGATATCCGAACATATTAAAACAATTTTTAGTTGTAAAACAAATTTCAATTGTAAATTCAGCGTACACTTAAAAGTTGTAAAACAATTTTTAAGTGTACGCTGAATGAAGCATGCCAGAATTTGTTTTTATTTATTCAAATACAAAAAATTATAGAATTAATGCTGGTATTTCCATTAGGAGGATATAATGATTTTTGGAGCACAAAATGACAAAATAATCGCCAACACTTTTCCAAAAATATGGCGCAAATGTATGACGTCATATACTGTCCTATGTTTTGGAACGTATCACCAGTATAGCGTCGATTCATGACGTCATTTGCATTGGACAGTATACTGGGTTATATTTTGGAATATACCCAAGATATTGGCTCTGTACTGTAACATTTACACTTCGCAACAAAACAGAATATTAAATGTCAAAACCATTCAAATTCGATTCCTACTGCTGATTCGAATGGTGATCCTTATTATGTCGCCTCTACACGTTGGCCAACACAGTGGCAAATGGAGTGGCGAATATATTGGCCGAGAGTTGGTGACGGCGTCCACACGTTGGAAGGTCGTTCAGTTTACTTCGGTTCGGGCCAATGTGCGGACGATTTTATAAGCACCGTGGCGCAGTGGCTCAGCAATGAGTGGCTGCGCAGGGAGCCGCGGGTTCGATCCCCCACGGAACAAGTATTTGTATGTCCTACAAATAATTGTTTCGGGCCTGGATATGTGTCCTTGTGCAATTTATGTTTGTAAACTGCCTCCGCGATACGGGAGAAAATCCTAGTGTGGGGTTAACGTTTTTATAAAAGAATTATAAAATAATAGTGGATATTAATGGGTCTGTAAATAGATATACGATATACGATTAGCTTTATCTATTCTTTACATGCATCATAAACTGAAATAAATGCCATTAATAAGAACTTATTTTAAAGTTAAAGGAGTTATAATCGATTAGTCTATGTTTTAAAATTGGGTTTTGTTTTTAAAGTTTAGCAAAACATGTACTTGCTTTTCTATCAGACATTTGATGTATATAAAAAACACCTTATAATTTATTTGGTAATTTAATTATTTTTTGAGAAAGACGAAAACAAAAGCAATAAATATAATTAACACTGACTTAATAATATGTACTAATTATAACTTAGAACATAAATGAAAAACTCATGACAAGGAAAGTGGCTCAGGACCATGCTTTGCGGCATTTTTTGTAGGAGGATGTTCAGTAGTGGACTTGTGAAGAGCTGTAATGAAGATGATGATTCGAAAACTTGCACGATTATTTTATAAGAAATCGACGCTTTTTTATATGGGATAGGGTGACAAACGAGCACACAGTTCACCTGATGGTAAGTGGTTGCTGTGGCCCACAGACATCTATATCTATCCTCGATTACGAATCAAAATGCAGATGCGTTGTCACCCGTGAGGACTAAGATGAAATGCCTCGTTTCCTTTAAAAAGTGTCTCTGGTTCTCTACACTCACTATACGAAACACAGCATCATTAAGCTACTATTTTACATTGATATTCTGTGAGAGCGTGGTCCTTCCCCGGTCGAACCGACCCATTCGTGCTACAACTATACTTCTAATATAACTGCATGGTTCTACCACGTATAAACGACGTACTTCATTCTTTTTTCATTTTAAAATTGTTCTCGTAATAATCTGATTGTAAATAAATGTTCATTATTTTTTTTTATAAATAGCTTACCGATTAAAACAAATGTTTAAAAATAATTAAATCGCACTAATTAAAGTAGGAATGTTTAAAGTTGAAATTGGCACTAAAAGGCTGGTAATTGGGTCATCCACCTTACAAAGCGTGAATATAAAATTTTAATCAGATGCGTGTAATCACTCTGGGAGCTTGTAGCAAACTAAACTCGCGGCCAACGTGTGGACGCGGCGACCAAACTCTGCCAACAATCCTTTGATCTTTTGTAAAAAACCGACACCTCGCGCCAACTTGCGGGCCATCGTTCCAATACATAGCAATGAAGCCCAAACACCCCGTCTACACGTTGGCCAATGCTATTGGCCACTACATTCCGGCGCCTCTACACGTTGGCCAACACAGTGGCGAATGTAGTGGCCAATAGCATTGGCCAACGTGTAGACGGGGTGTTTGGGCTTCATTGGTATGTAATGGAACGATGGCCCGCAAGTTGGCGCGAGATCCGTGTGGTGTCGGTTTTTTACAAAAGATCAAAGGATTGTTGGCAGAGTTTGGTCGCCGCATCCACACGTTGGCCGTGCGTTTAGTTTGTTACAAGCTCCCAGAGTGATTACACGCATCTGATTTAAATTTTATATTCAAGCTTTGTAGGGTGGATGCCCCAATTACCAGCCTTTTAGTGCCAATTTCAACTTTAAACATTCCTACTACTTTAATTAGCGCGATTTAATTATTTTTAAACATTTGTTTTAATCAATAAGCTACTTATCAAAAAAAATTTTTTACAATCAGATTATTACGAGAACAATTTTAAAATGAAAAAAAATTAAGCACGTCGTTTATACGTGGTAGAACCATGCAATTATATTAGAAGTATAGTTGCAGCACGAAGGTCGGCTCGACCGGGGGAAGGAGTGATTACACGCACCTGATTTAAATTTTATATTCACGCTTTGTAGGGTGGTGCCCCCATTAGCCTTTTAGTGCTAATTTCAACTACTACTTTAATTAGCGCGATTTAATTATTTTTAAATATTTGTTTTAATCGATAAGCTATTTATGAAAACAAATAATGAACATTTATTTACAATCAGATTATTACGAGGACAATTTTAAAATGAAAAAAATGAAGCACATCGTTTATATGTGGTAGAACCATGCAGTTATATTAGAAGTATAGTTGTAGCACGAATGGGTCGGCTCGACCGGGGAAGGACCACGCTCTCACAGAATATCAGCGTAAAATAGTAGCTTAATGATGCTGTGTTTCGTATAGTGAGTGTAGAGAACCAGAGACCCTTTTTAAAGGAAACGAGGCATTTCATCTTAGTCCTCACAGGTGACAACGCATCTACATTTTGATTCGTAATCGAGGATAGATGTAGATGTCTGTGGGCCACAGTAACCACTTACCATCAGGTGAACTGTGTGCTCGTTTGTCACACTATCCTATAAAAAAACGACGATTTCTTATAATTTAATCGTGCAAGATTTCGAATCATCATCATCATTACAGCTGTTCACAAGTCTACTACTGAACATCCTCCTCCACAGACAGCCGCAAAGCATGGTCCTGAGCCCCTTTGCTCGTCATGAGTTTTTCATTTATGTTCTAAGTTATAATTAGTACCTATTATTAAGTCATTGCTATTGTTTTTGTCTTTCTCAAAAAATAATTAAATTACCAAATGTTTGTTGGTGTTTTTTATGTACATCAAATGTCTGATAGAAATGCAAGTACATATTTTGCTAAACTTTAAAATCAAAACCCAATTTTAAAACATAGACTAATCGATTATAACTCCTTTAACTTTAAAATAAGTTAAGTTCTTATTAATGGTTTTTATTCCAGTTTATGATGCATGTAAAGAATAAATAAAGCTAATCGTATATCGTATATCTAACAACCCCATTAATATCCACTATTATTTTATAATTCTTTTATAAAAACGTTAACCCCACACTAGGATACTCTCCCGTATCGCGCAGGCAGTTTACAAACATAAATTGCACAAGGACACACATCCAGACCCGAAACAATTATTTGTAGGACATACAAATACTTGTTGCGTGCGGGATCAAACCCGCGGCGCTCGGCGCAGCCACTCTTTGCTGAGCCACTGCGCCACGGTGCTTGTAAATTCGTCCGCACATTGGCCCGAACCGAAGTAAACTGAACGACCTTCCAACGTGTGGACGCCGTCACCAACTCTCGGCCAATATATTCGCCACTCCATTCGCCACTGTGTTGGCCAACGTGTAGAGGCGACATTCGCCACTGTGTTGGCCAACGTGTAGAGGCGCCGTTACAGGATTTTGGTTTGGAATTTTCACATTATCCAGCAGTCTACAGAACACATGGTGAGGTTGACATTTGTGGAAAAATTCGTATATTCCACAATACACTTTTTTATCATCAGCCCGTGGAAGTCCACTGTTGGACGTGACCGTCTTCTACTGTATTTGCCTTAATTGTTACCCTTGACAGACAGATTGATGATTACAGTGCCCCATGTCTTGTATATTTGCGCTACTCCCCGTGTACGGTCTGGGTATTTTACGTCTGAAGTAAACGCCATGCCCATAGACTAGACTTTTTCCCATAGTCTCCTCTAACAAAACTAGTATGAAGTAATAAAATAAAAAACAAACATGGAAAGGCAATTAAGCTCATAGCAACATTACTAATCTAAAATATAAAAAAAAACTAGATAAATAGATAGATAATGATGGGCTGTTTTACGCAACTCCTCGTCTAAGTGGTTATTGTGCGTGTGAGCAGGATTGCAATAATGCAATATTCGAGCTATGAAATCCCCCCGAAGAAGTTCAACAGTCTCTTGATGTTGCGAGCAACTTTGCGGAGTGACCCCATTGTGGACATGTCAGCTACATGTGGGCTGCCGTTTCTTCCTCCCCCATACATGCCCTGCACAGGGGACTATCTCTAACACCTATGGTAAATAAATGTTTGTTAAAGGAGCCATGTCCTATAATAGCACTTGTTACTGTTATGATCCGTGGCTTGCTCAATCTCATTAGAACCTTGGTTAAACAACTGTTTATTTCAGGCATTGCCTCCCTAGCTTGTCTTTAGTCTACTAGATTTTTCCAAAGTTGAGCGTGTTGATTAGTGTAGTTTCTACATACAAGTGAACAAATGTTATCAGAGGTATGATTGGTTCTGGCCCTATAGTGGCGTTAGGATTACCGGGGGAATATAAGGACGCGAAGGGCTCACTCTCGATCCAGCTGAGAGACAGGGCTGAAAAGGTTCATCCCCGCTGCCTGAATGGCTGTCACTTGTTCCGTCAGCATGATCTTTACCACTACCTAGTCCTTTTCAGGAAACTTGGCTGCCCCCACGTCCCTAGTCTACGACTCTCTGACGGGGTGCTTGACCATTTCCCTACCATTGTCAGATAGGCCACCGTTTGGCTTAAAATCCGGATCAAAGAGGATGTGTTGCCTCTCACCGCTATTAATGCCAGTGACGATTGGCTTAATCCTCGATGACTCCTTCATCCCGCGTACGGCGCTCGACTGCGCAGGTCCTAGCGCAAGTGGGTGTGTTAGTCCACCGGATACACCCACTCTTTCCGGCGGAACCATCAGTCTTTTAGAGGGGATTTAGTCCCTCACGGCCACTGAATTGCTGTTCCAAGATCACTAGAAAAGAAATTGTGTGAGTCTTGGTGTTGGGTTAATTAACCGCCGCCTAAGGTTCGGCGTTGAATCCTTTTACGGTTGCCTCGTAAAAGTCACTTCTAGCCAACCTTCCTTATTTAACCGGGTTTGGAAACGCACCAAAAAAATCACAGGCAGTTTAAAAAAAAACTATCGCTTTTATAAACCTGTATATTTTTTGCAGATGAAGATTTCGAGTACATCATAGTCATACCGGAAGATCAAGAGCTATCAGGCAACAACAATCTAGAAGTAATGGGTGAAAGCACTACTGATTCTATTCAAATAACAGAAGAAACTATAGAAACAAAGTCTCAAATTAATAAATGGAATAAACGCTTAAAGAAGAATCTCCTGGTACAGTACTTGAAATACTTAAAGGCTAACAAAGGAAAAGAGATAGATTCAAGAGAAATGTGGAAGGAAATATCGACGAAATTGAACAAACTACCATTAGCGTGCAGAAGAATTTTACTTAAGCTAAAAAATCAACACAAACTCTCTGCATCTGATGAGGAATTTAAAAGAAAGTCTCCATACTTTAACTTGATGGAAAAGATTTTGCGTTTAAAACCCAAGTTTGCAAAAATCGCTGAGGGTAAAGCTTTACAAGAAAAGAAATCATACAAAGACGTCGCCATGTCAGATGAAAAGGTTGAACGAGCCTTGCAGTATTATTTGGATAATATGGAAGAATTTCTGAGTCCAAGATTCGAAAAGAAATACGTCTGGATGGAGCTCGCAATCCTTATAAGCGAACCTGTGAATAGAGTGTTTAATAAAATAAATTATTTAAAACATCTATGTAACAACGAAAACAGTAACACAAGTCAAATTCCTTTTAGGGAAACGTTACAATTAATTATAAATAAAGAGAATCTTCTTAAAGATATAATGATGTCAGATGCAAAGCCTGTAGTTTCCAATGAAGGCACTTTAGACGAGTTTTGGTCTGACGATGAAATTGAACAGCTGTTATTATGGTACTTGACCCACTTAGATAAGTTTAAAAACCCTAAATATGTTCGCAGTTATCTCTGGATGGAAGCGTCGGAGATTATGAAAAAGAGTCCATTGACATGCTCAAAGAAAATGTCGGAAATAAGAACTCAGTATAGGACTATGGTCAGGGAGGCGCTAGAAGAGCTAAACGACTGGAGATTCTATAGTTTATGTCAGAAAATCTATGGCACTGGGAAAAAGAACCCAGTTAATAACAATTAAGTTATTGATGAAATATATTTAATTGGAGATATCTATTTTTTTAGTTTTAATTGGTTTTCTCAATTATTTTAATAATAAAATATACTTACGTCTTACTGCTGGGCTAAGGAATTTGGAGCAGAGAAATGTTCGCCCCGCATATACATACATATACACACACACACACACACACACATATATATATATATATATATATATATATATATATATATATATATATATATATATATATATATATATATATATGGGTGAATCAACTATTTTCTGTAATTAATCAACTTTTTGTGTTAAAAAATAAACTTAGTGTTTTTAGTTATTTAACTTTAAATATAGATAACTTAACCATCTAGTTTTAATATTTTATGTAGAGAATCGAACTTTTTTAAATGCTATTATGGTTTTTAACCAAGAATGTCAGAACTGACAACTTTAAATGTCTCTTGGGTAACGGACATATTATACAATATATCGTAAGTAAAACAAAACAGAAAAGATTAATCAGTATATTTATTTTTTATTAAAGTTTAAAGGAAGTATTATAGGTCTTTGAAACTAAACAAATCAGTCTTATTCTTAAAATAATGACGTGCCTTGTTTGTCTTGGGTCACTGGTAAAATAAATCAATACAAACTTTAACTATAACTTTTTTTTAAATAACACATGTAAGCCAAACTAATACTATACTTACCGCCACTTATTCATCAACCATTATATAAAAATAAAATATACCTAAGATATTTTGTTCTATTTCAATGTCGAGAGATTCATTATAAAATTAGGGGACATTGTTGTTAGCCAGGAGACAAACTTAGTGACTCAAGAGACATAACGATATACCAACCAAAATTAAAAGAAAAATAATAAATTTAAAATTGTTAATAATATAAAAATTCTGTCAAAAACTCTGTTGTGTAGTCTAAATAACAAATTATAATAAAAAGTCCAACAAAAAGCACAATCACAATAAGTAAAAATATATATAATAACGGAAACTTTTAAGTAGTGAAGTAAATAACTATTGCCAAATCACTTCTCTAAAACGTGTACATTATATTCAAATATGTAATACTGTTGGCCTCTTTTGGTAGTCGTTTTATGCTCAGCTAGAATTTATATTATGTCAGTGTAGTCGATGTCAGCTACGTCACTCTTTTCGAGAGGAAATGTGTTTTGTGAAATTTGAATCTTCGTGCAAATCATCGACTACACAAGCATATTTAAAAATCTTACTTAAAAGTCCATCTGTCTCACCTCTTGGTTCTCTTTTTTGTTACAAAGTTGTGCTGTTGAACTTTTTGGTTTTAGAGATGTCATCACTGGCTCATCATCAGAAGTTTCAGGTGTTTTATAAACCAGTTGAAACCAATTCTTGTTGTGAGCTTGGCATAATTCTATCAATCGGGTTGATTAAATAGTTAAAATAAGCATTAGCTTTGACTTTCAAGTCCTTATTTGTCCGGTTATTCCCAGAGATTCTTTAACTATTACTTTTTTTGCACAGTCATCAACACTTTCAAATATGTCTTTCAGTATTTTCTTATCTTTGTGTTTCTTTGTTTTTTGGTACCTTTCTTTGAAAACACCGGATAGCTTTTTGTACTTTGTCATTTCATCAGCATTGTCATTTGCTTTTGTTTCATGTTTGTTTCTTTGGCAACGTTTTTTCTTATTTTTCGTATTTTTGTTGTAGTTTTTCATTTTCTTTCCGCAACTTTAAATTTTCCCTATATAATTTTGATCGATCTCTCTTAATTTTCTGTAGTCATTTACTCTTCCTTGATACATTTTTATGTGGAAGCATATTTTGCGGACTATTAATACCAGATATATCCGTCTCGTCATTGTTTCGATGCGGTGCATTTTGAAAAGCATCATGGGCTACCATAGCATCTGCTTCAGGTATCAATATAGAAGAAGAACTTAGAGGTGTTATATCATCAAGAAGGTGATTTAAATTATTCCTGTTTTGTCTTAAGTTTTTCTTCCTATGTTTCCAAGTTGTTCTTGCATTATATTTCTCTTGTGGTGGTAAGTCTCTTTTTTGTATGATAATTCACATGCTTTTTTCTTTTATATTCTTCGTACTTTTCAGAATTCAGTTTGAGTTTTTCTTTATATCTACTCTGCCTTTCGGCGGCTGTTAAAGGCGTATTTACTGAAACGATTAAACTTACACTAAACCAAAACAAACCTAATAATTAACATGAAAATACTTTACAGAGAAAACGGAATTGGTAATTGAACATTGAAATAGAATGTAAATATTTATTAAGGAGACTTATTCGTTACCATATGCTAAGAAAATGCAAGATGTCTCCTGGCTAACAAGAATTGTCTCTTGGGTCACTCGTTTTGTGACTCAGTGGAACTGTGACCCAGGAGAAATAATACGATTTGTTACGCTTTTTCTTAAGAAAAGTTTCGATAAATTGATAATTACATATATTAGAGGAATTACAGATTTAAAACTTAAGAAATTAGTTTGAAAGTAACGTATTAAAATATTATCTAAATAAATATTACGACGTCAGCCAGCGGAAGGACATAGAACACACGCACGCACTTTTGAAGTCACGGACGAAATGGTCGAGCCAAATCACTGCTATAGTGTAATTAGGTAGGATCGTCCGAAGTACAGAACTATTTCCTATTAGCTAAGCCACTCACATGCTATCTCTCTCGTATTTTACAATGTTTTATGCGTGTGACCCAGGAGACGCATGTTCTACTGCTATCGAGGGGATCATAAATTATGATTTTAATTATTATACCGAATACTAAACTTAGGGATCTATAAAAAGAGACAAAGAAAGAAAGCATGTAGTATTTAATTTTCATCGCAAAAGCTCATTGCATCCTTAGGAAAAAAATATAGTATCATTGCTAGATACCAGGCCGACACTCCGTGGGGACAAGATGAATTTGTATGGGAAGACTATTTAGTCCACTGGGTCACGAGTTTTATTTTTGGATTTTTGAGTATAACTGCAGCTAAGTATTAATTCGAATTAACTACGAAATATCTGATTTTATAACTGTACTAAAATTAAAGCCTTAATACTGAAAATGTAAGTTTTTATTAATTTATACTGTTGGGGACACGTTTTGACAAAAAAAAGTTCATTCACCCATATATATATATATATATATATATATATATATATATATGAGTTCTGCATAATTTCTGGGAATTGTCATTGCCCCATGAAGGAATTACTTACTCTGGGGAGTCGAGTAACCGGTATAACTAGGTTGTGCTTGTTTCTAGTGTTTGCAGAATGTACATCACTATTTTAATAAAACTATTTTTGCATTAAATTTATACATTAAAGGAGGATGGCCAAATCGTACCCGACAACGAAATGATAGCGTCCCAATATGAAATATTTATGTAAAACACCCTTATTGTTTAAGGTCTTAAAAATACACAAGAAATACCTCTCTAAGTAGCCACAAAAAAAAAAGATATCCATGTATTTCTATTTTTGTAACTGTTCAAAATTATTTCAAATAAAGTTAAAGTTTTTGTAAATAGTTGTTAATTGGGGATGAGTCGCTCGCGTCCGTAGGCTTCGACCACCTAACCTTAGGCCGACCCTACACGTGTCCCTCGGGTGGTGCTAAACGAGCGACAAAGCCGAAAAAAATAGACTCGGCTCCTCGCCGTATGGTAGCGGCGTAAAATCTACCACCACCCCTTGTTCGCACCATGACTCAGAAAATAAAAGAAATGGCCTCGAGTTCCCGGCGACCCTTCAATGGGGCAGGGGTGCGAAGAATCTCCGGGAGAAAAACCGGCGACGAGGTTCGCCACCCGTCACGTTCTGTCTCCCGGAGGGGCGAAAAGTGGATTGCGGAAACCCGTCTGGCTACGCTAAATGTATGTGGAGGAATTAATGATAAGATGGATGAAGTATGCGAAATGATGAATGACAGAGGAATAGATGTGTTATGTGTGAATGAGACGAAACGAAAGGGAAAGGATGCCACTGCACATGGCACGTATACCGCGTATTGGTCTGGTGTAGACGAGACCGAACGGGCATGCCAGGGAGTCGGTTTCATCAGAAAGAATGGGTCAATGTGTGAAAGAGTATGAATATGTAAGCCCGAGGCTGCTAGGGGTGTACGCCCCAGACATGTCTAAGCCCACTTACATCCGAGAGCAGTTTTGGGACATGGTAAGGATGGTGTTGACAATTTTGTTGACAATTTACATTTGTAAGGAAAATGAAAATATTATTATGTTAGGAGACTTTAATGGAAAGGTTGGGGTGAAGAGGTCTGGTTATGAAAGGATATTGGGAACGTTTGGTGATGAAAGTATAAATGAGAATGGTGAAGACCTCCTCACCGTATGTGTGGAAAAGAATCTTTTTGTGACGAATACTTTTTTTCGTCATAAGAAGATTCACATGTATACATGGGAAAGAGGTGATGATAGAAGCATGATAGATTTCGTAATTGTGGATGAAAGAATGAGGAGCGCAGTCGTAGATACAAGGGTTTACCGGGGGTCCAACGTAGGGACGGATCATTACTTGGTCTTATGTCGAATTAATGGTCTTTTCAAGCGTTGGCGGCATCGGACATCTGTGTCTACCACTGCGTTACATCGTATAAGAATAGAAAAGTTACAAGATGAAGATGTGAAAGAGAAGTATAAATGTAGACTGAGAGGAAATATTAGATGTTTGAATGAGTTGTGTATGAATGATAGACTGAGAGAGATGTGATGAGATGATAGACTTGAATACTGTGTGGGATAATATTAAGAAAGGTTTGGTGGATGCCGCCACTGAAGTATGTGGTGTAAGTAAGAGAACAAATGAAAGGAAAAGTAATACGTTGTGGTGGGATGATGAGGTACGGGTGGAAGTTGAATCAAAGAAGAAAGCATGGTTAGATTTACTAGCAACCAAAGCTGGTAATTCTTCTGGTATGAATGATGAGATTGAAAGAAAAAAGGCAGAATTTAGACGTCTAAATAAGAAAGTAAAAGAAGTTGTTGAAAGGAAAAAGAAAGAAAGAACGGATAAGAATGATAGAAGGATATCTGATAATTTCCAGGCTAACATAAAAATGTTCTGGAAACTCGTAGGAACTGCCAGGGGAAATACAAAACAGCCTATAATGAATGCTATAAGAGACGAGAATGGATGTATTCTGAATGATGAAGCTTCGAATTTAAACAGATGGAATGAATACTTTGAAAGCGTGTTTATGAGTGAAGAGTCGTCTGAATTAAATGAACTAGAAATTCCGAAAGAAGTGGAAAGGGGTATGGACATAAGTGTAGATGAAATAATGAAAGCAGTGAAAAGCATGAAAGCAGGTAAGGCAGCTGGATATGATAGAGTATCACTCGAGATGCTAAGGGCTGGAGAGGGAGTGGTGGCAGGCCTGCTGTACACCTTGTTTAATTTAAGTTGGGAATTAAAACGGGTACCGGATAACTGGTGTAAAGCAGTTATAGTACCAATATATAAAGGAAAAGGGTCACAGCAGGACTGCAAAAATTACCGTGGTATCAGCTTGCTTAGTATTGTGGGTAAACTGTATGCTAAGGTGTTAATTGAAAGAGTTATGAAAGAAACTGATGGAAAAATGTGGGATGTGCAAGCGGGTTTTAGAAAGGGAATGGGGTGTACAGATCTTTCCGAGTCTTTTCCATGCGCATGATTGCGGAGAAGTTTTTGGCCAAAAACCAGAAAGTTTTTTGTGCGTTCATGGACTTGGAAAAGGCTTATGACAGAGTGGACAGGAATGTGTTATGGCAAACACTGAACTCATATGGGTTGAGCGCTGGTTTGATACAGGCATTAAGGTCTCTTTATAAGGACTCTAGTGCTTGTGTCAGGATCAATGGAGTCTACTCGGACTGGTTTGGCATCCAAAAAGGTGTCAGACGGGGCTGTGTAGCTTCCCCTTGGCTGTTCAACCTATTTATGGACAGGTGTTTTCAAACTTTGAAAGATGAAGAATGTGGGTTAAGAATGGGCGAGTTAACCGTCAAATGCCTTTTGTATGCCGATGATCAAGTCATATTTGCGTCATCGGCGGCTGAGTTGCAAATGATGGTTACATTAATGAACTGGGAATTAAAAGAAAGGGGAATGAAAGTGAACGCAAGTAAGACGAAAGTGGTGGTTTTTGAAAGAGAAGAAAGCAAAACGGTATGTGAAATAAGAATAGAAGGAGAGTTAATTGAGCAAGTGGATGAGTTTGTGTATTTGGGATGTGTATTTAGCAGGGATGGTAGATATGATAGGGATATAGAACGACGAGTAAATGCAGGGAATAGAGTGAATGGGGCACTACACTCTATTATGAAGAACCAGAATGTTTCAGAAAAGGCACGTATGGTAATTCATATGCTGTGTTAGTCCCTACTTTAATGTATGGTAGTGAAAGCTGGGTGTGGCAGAAGAAGCACGAAAGTAGAATAAATGCTGTAGAAATGCGGTCTTTAAGGAGTATGCTAGGGTTGAATCTGAATGACAGGGTGAGAAATTGCGTGATAAGAGATAAATGTGGTATGCAAGATGATGTTGTGACCAGGATTAAGAAAGGAATGCTTCGGTGGTTTGGTCATGTAGAAAGAATGAATGAGGAAAGAGTGACAAAGCAAATTTATATGGCAGATGTGAACGGCCGAGTCGGGCCGAACGTTAGAAGTACCCTTAACCGACGAGCATGTATGCGTAGATGGATGTAAAGGAGGCGAAAGAGGTGTGTCAGGATCGTGCCAAATGGAAGTCCGTAGTCTCTGCCTACCCCTCTGGGTGACAGGCGTGAGTGTTTATGTTTTATGTTATGTTTGTTAATTTTAATTCAATTCAATTAGTATGTAGACATCAAATCAACTACTATGCTGATTTATTATGTACTGGATTCTTGTCATAAAAATAATTATCTAGGTCATAGTAAGCTAAACGTTTTGTTCAATTACATATGTACAACGGAATATCATTTGTCATCGCTTAATCTGTGGTCATCAATACGCGCCATTATTGTGGATATGTTCCGAAATACAACGCAGTGTACTGTCCAATGCAAATGACGTCATCATTTGACACTTTATTGTACTAGCGTGTCGCCGCCATATTGTGTCGGATATCCGGCCATAATAAAACAATTTTTAATTGTGTGTTTGCCGAATGAAGCATGCCAGAATTTGTTTCTATTTATTCAAATACAAAAAATTATAGAATAATTGATGGTATATCCATTAGGAGGATATAATGATTTTTGGAGCTCAAAATGACAAAATAACCACTTTTCCAAATGGCGCAAAACGTCATATACTGTCCAATGTTTTGGAACGAATCACCAGTATAGCGTCGATTCATGACGTCATTTGCATTGAACAGTACACTGCGTTGTATTTCGGAACATACCCTGTTATTACCTTCCTTACCTTCTGTTTTGACTTCGGTATTGTTTTACGGACTGATTTTTTCACATCTTGGATAATTGTGAGAGACATCGTGCAAACTAAACTGCTATTGCTATGTGTTAATTGTAACATATGCATTGATACACTTTCGCCACCATGTCGTTTTTGAGCTTGATACTAGAGTAATTTCTAAGATCTGGGAGTGGAATTCTTCAATAATTGTATGTACCTATTTACTTTATTACTCTAACATATATCTACACGTATACACTATAATCAATCATACATCATAATACACTAATTCTTATTTTAGATCACTGAAGAAGATTACGTATGTGATGCCTGTCAACAATTGGCAATACAGCGTGTCGACTCCGGGTTACCTAACGAACCTGGTGCTTCATCTTTCCGTGGCCACAAGCATGTTTGCATACTTTGTGGAAGTTCTCTGAGGAATCGTAAATGTGACCTTATTGTGACGGAGAATCCATCTCAGTTGCAACAAGCAATACATGTTGATCTTGAAAATAGAATTACCCCACGGCAGGTAATAATTACCTTTTTATTTTGTACTCTTTTTTGTTTCGTCTTGGTATCAATATTATAGCGAATTTATCACTGCAATTTTATATTGTTTTGTAAAAATTTTTCAATTTGGTCGGGTTTAATAATAATAAGCCAAAACATTTATATTAAGACAAGGCTGTATGGTTGTTTCAGGCAACTTCAACAGACCATGCTTGTTATCCCTGTTGGCTGATACTCAAGAGAGTTGCAACACATAATATGCAGCAGACAGAGCCAGAGTTGGAGCAGGAGCCAGAGCCTCAATAACCTTAAAGTCCTCCAAATACCAACCAGCAAGATGACGTAGTACCTGGGTACCGGTGATTAGTTAGCCGCAGTATAGATGAGCTGCAAACACTGCAGCACATTGTGTTTTTTCTGGTTGCCAGAACACAGATTTGCATAGAATTTCTGACCCTCTAAAAGCAACAACTCTTACTTTCCTATGCCTAACACAAATATTACTTGCCTATAAGTGCTCATATTTGTGTAGAACATACATTTAGTACTGATTGGGATATGTTGTTCAATTCTCAAAATATTTTGAGAACATTTACATTGGAACATGCTCTTTCTTTTATAAATGCATTCAATACATTTCTTGATTTCTCGAGTATGGAAAGTGTTGAAAGATTTGATTATTGGCTCGGAATGAATAAACAACAATTTGAACTTTTATTATATGAAAGCCACATCTTATAAAAACAAATAGAGGGATTTTAGATTTAGGTGCTCTTCTAATGAAGATGAGAACTGGTGAATCAGATGACCGGTTATATCTGTTATTAATGGTTCCAAGGCGAACATTAGAAAAATTTATGGATAAGGTTAGGGAAATATTGGTACAAGATTTTGTGCCTAGAAATCTGGGGATTGAACACATATCCCGTGAGCAATTATTACAACACAATTTAATGATTCCAAATGCAATTTATAATCAAAATAATGATAATGCGATAATTATATGTGATGGGACATATATTTTTATAAACAAAAGTTCCAATTATATGTTCAAAAAGTACACATATTCCTTACATAAATGAGGGGTGCCAAACCATAACGTTTCAAGTGCCAGAAAGTGGAATTTTCAGGAGATACAAAAAACAGTTTTAATGGAAAAAGAAAGAGCAAAGCAATAAAAAAAGAATGTTTAATCAAATTATCATTTATTATTAATAATTTAACACAAATTTTGTGTCAGTCAAAACAAGGAAATAATATTATTTTGTTTCTAAAAAAAATTAAAAGAACAAAACGTAAGTATCATTATTTATGCAAGTCATAACGTTGTAAGTATTATATTACTTGCACATAACGCAACTTGAAATATCTTTATTTTAAAAGGTTTTCATAAAATAATTTGCTATCTCCGGCTAAATACGGCAACATGGCACCAATGTCTTTCTTTTTCTCGGCAGGAGTCTCGATCATGTCAACTTGTAGGTTCTCAAAATTTGCCTTAGTAATTCCAGGTTTAAGCACTGGAGTTGATTGAGAGGAGCAAATTCGCCGTAACTTTTCTTTGTAAAAATGACACCAAAATTTTCAGAAGTTCTGTAGCTTTTTGGTATTAATCATATTTTTAGCCAGATTCATACATTAAAAAAGGTTTTATCCACTACCAAGAATAGGTTTTTTTGCCAGCATTTGTAATAACTTCAATAAGGTCTTTTGGAATCAGTGGCTTTGCACACTTTTTCCCTTTTTTAATGATCGCAAAATCACGGTCGCAGGCGAGAAATGTATGGAAATTTATGAGTAATTTCTGAAAAGAAACCTTTTGCAATTAAAACGAGGAACATAGCAAGTACAGTTTGGTTCTTGTTTTGTCCACCACAGTTATCTGACCACAAAATTAATTTCTTTTTATCTGTAATGTATCCTATTTCACTAAAAGTGAAAAACTTTAAAGACAGGAAGCAATCTCGTTGGAACCCTTTTTGCCCAACAGTTTCATTCCAGAGAAACATGATGCCCTTTCCTTCGTCCTCCAAGTGAATTCCCATATTGACAAACGCCAGCTGACGACTGTAGTACATCTGTGTATGGATTAATGTTGGGTGGTACATCTGTTGCTGGAGGTGGAACTGAACCACTCGAACATCTGAATTAGGGCATCTAGAGTCTGCTCCATCATTATTCATTAGTTTTCTGGCCATCTCAGCTTGCTTGTGATGAAAATCCAACTTATGCTTACCGAGGTCTTTTACTACTTCAGTTGGAGCAGTATCTATTTCGATTTTATAAGAGTCACACGTCGGGCATGTGTCTACTCGCGGAGGCTTGAAAGAAAGATTAAACTCGGTCAAAAATATTTCATTAAACCATTGCCTAGATACTGGTAGCTTAGTAGATCCATCACGGTGTTTTTCTAAAAACCCTTTATATAGTTTGACCACACTAAGTTCTGTTGGGAGATATTTTCTATTAAGAGCGTCATTTCGACTATAATGACTTTCTTGAGCCGGTATTGACTTTATGTACTCGATAATCTTTTCTTTCCACTGAGGCTCGCGTCTTTGCCTTTTTCCACCACGTCTATCTTTTACAGATACGTCATTACTAAAAATTTTTTTCGGAAAGCATCTGCTCACGGCGTTGACTGATACCAAAAGTATCGCAAAACGTCTTTTTACACACCTGAAATTAAAAGGAACTTATAACTATTTGTGGAATAGAATTCTTTTGAAAACATTAATTATTGTACTAACTAAGAATATAATATAATTGTTTTTTTCCATGTCTTTTTATTAACAATTTTTTTTCTCGTTGTAGACGCACCGTCTTGTTCGGACATTTTGAATGCACTGACGTTTGCAGCTCATTTGGCACTTACAACGTTGTGGCATGCTGTTTCACAATATTTAAGTTAGAAACCCTTCAACTCATTACTGCAAGTAAACGCCGGCACATACAACGTTTTACTGCAATAAAACGCATTTCAGTTCGTGTGGCACTTAAAACGTTATGGTTTGGCACCCCTCAAATACAAAAACTTGTTAAAACCATTTTTGCTGGTGACACCTAATAGCTACATTGTAGACTGCTTTGGCCCATATGATGCATATGATTTCCATAGTTACAAGCCTTTTAAATAAATTCAGTGTTCGATTAAAAAACAGGAATGATACTGAGCAAATCATAAATGTGATTAGAGAAGGATTTCTATTAAATAATAATTTATCTGATTTTATAAATAGTATGAATATGAATAGACGAACATCTGATTTTGCTAATATTGCAGCTCATTCCAATACTAATATTATATTCCCCCATCTAGAATATAGTGAAGTTATATTATTTGCCCTAGGAACATATCAGATTCAACAGGCAGGGTCCTATTATAGTGAACATGTCAGGTTACACAGAGTGTATCGAATTGAAATAAGCAGAGAAAACATTAATGTAACAGAGTATTGTCTGTAAGGAAGTGGACATAATTCGCTTTTAAGAGGCAAAATCAAATCCAGACACATTTCCAGAAAAGTATATTATGTTTATATATTAATTGAAAATAATGTGTCTGGAAGGGAAGCTATAATAGAGTATTGCTGTAATTGTTTAGTTGGTAGAAGAACAGTTGGGTGCTGTGCACATGTTATGACGCTTGTGTGATACCTTGGGTGGACCAGGCATCAGCCGACAATATCGCCAATGCCAGCATCACTACTTGATGTTCTAGTTGTAAGAAGATGATGAATAAAAATTAATTTTGTCTAGGCTACTTATTTCATTAAAGTACTACTAAATTCTACCATTAAGCTTCATTTACTCCCGTAACCTACCATTACTCGATTTTTCAATACATATGCAACTTTAGTATTGAAGACTGAAAGACAGTAGGTATCTAGCGACTAACTCTCTTCAGCTAGAATTGAAATGGTCAAACTACAAAAAAGCCTTGAAATCTTTCAGGAAAGACTTCGTGTGACAATAATTACGCTACCCTTGTTTTACATACTACATACTGTGCAAGCTAGTGCAATACATGTAGGTGTAGTTTTTATTGAATTATCGGTCATAGTTGGTCGTCGAAACGTTCAACTTCACGAGACGGTTTGACAGACGGCCCTTTTTGACATCGAAGATGCACATACGTAGGGTGCGCTTTGAGAGATGTTCTATTATTGGGTAATAAAATTGTTTTAGAGAAATCTAAATAAATGGAAACGAGATCGCTAATTACCATCCTCACTTATCGCTAACTACACTTTTAGGCTACATCGCAGTCGGATAGAGCGTCCAAGCAAGGTTTTTCGTTAAAAATCAAAATGTAAGTAGTTACGTTGTACCAGTTCTGGCGCACTTGTAGAAAGGTTGTACCAGTTCTGGCGCACGACGTTCGTCGACTCACAATCCTAAAAAAAAAAAAAAAAAGGTTTTGGCATGCTCTGATCACGAATCTGCGGTCCATTTTTGCGTAGGATGCACGGTTCCGGAGATGTGCAGATCAATTAACTCTTATCTAATTGATATCCGCTACGAGCCTCAACCGTCATTAGCGCTCCATTGTCCTTATCTACTTATCTATTGTTGATTGACTACCGTCATTATCTATTATTCGTCCAGCGTGTGGGTCGGCTTATGCTATTGTATTATACTCCTTTGTTCCTATCTACAACACTAATCTGAATCATCAATAAAACACATTACCTAATTTTGTTAAAATTTTTATTTATAAAATACAAAATCTTATTACTTATTATCTATAAAATAGGAGCGAAACATCTCATCCACTAACATATCGTTGTACAATGTGTTCTCTGTAAATATACTCGTAAAACTATGCATTGAACATCCCTGAAACTTATATAGCAAATACATTAAGCAATATTCGCCACAAACTGAAGTCCTATCAACATTCCAGTTCCATCTTTTAAACACATTACCTAATTTTGTTAAAATTTTTATTTATAAAATACAAAATCTTATTACTTATTATCTATAAAATAGGAGCGAAACATCTCATCCACTAACATATCGTTGTACAATGTGTTCTCTGTAAATATACTCGTAAAACTATGCATTGAACATCCCTGAAACTTATATAGCAAATACATTAAGCAACATTCGCCACAAACTGAAGTCCTATCAACATTCCAGTTCCATCTTTTACAATTTCGTACAGGTGCCCGTCCATATGAATCAAAATATTCACCGACGTCATTCGTATCGATATATAAAGCTACCCAATGTGACCCTGGTTTATCATCTGTACCCAAATTGCATATTACCTAGTCAGGTCATAAATTCTATCACATGTTTAATGTAAAATAATTGAAACAAGTTTATTCATTATGTAACCATTTATATACCAAAATGAACTTAACAAAACATAGATTCTTATGACACTATAGTTTATTCAAAATGACCTCCGTAATTTTGAATACAGGCCTTCAATCTGCGCGGCCAGTCGTCTATCTCACCACGAACGAGGTCCATGTCATATCGGCGGCTGCCTTAATTAAAGATGTCTTGAGTGACTCGAAATTGGGTTGAGGCTTTGAGCACGCCTCCATTTCCTCCAAGTGTTACCATATCTTGTAATCTAACGGATTCAAATCTGGACTGGTCTTTGTGTCGGATGAAGTCGATTTCACGCGCCGCCAGCCAGTTTTTTTTTTTGTTTTTAAAGAACGTTACCTCCACACTAGGTTTTTCTCCTGTATCGTGGGGGCAGTTTACAAACACAAATTTCACAAGGACAAACATCCAAACTCGGAACAATTACGTGTAGGTCGTACAAATACTTGTTCCGTGCGGGATTCGAACCCGCGACCCCCAAGCGCAGCCACCCATTGCTAAGCCACTACGCCACGGAGCTGTCAAAAGTCTTGTGTGCTCTTCGCTCTATGAGCTGACGCCGAATCTTGTTGGAATACCCAGTGCCTGTTATTGAACATGGTATGAGAAACAGGTTACACAAGGTTCGTCAGGACTGTATTTTGATACACAACTGCATTCGTTTTTAACCTTTCTCACAAAAATGTACCTCTGTTAAGCCCCACTAAGAAACTCCCAACCATACCATGAGCGAGGATGGAAAATGACCTCGTTGGACACGCGGAATACGGTTGCTCGCTTCTTCACTACTGTGTGCGTACACCTTATCATTTTGTTTGTTGTAGCTCTCTTCTACGGTAAAAAATTTTTTATCCGAAAAAAGAATTTCCCGATATTTTTTCCCGCGTACCGCTTCACCAAAGCGCAGCATCTCTTCAGTCTCAGATCCATTAGACGAGCATTCAAACGATGTCCTGTTTTTCTTCGATATGCCCGAAGCCCTAAGTCTTCATTTAACGCCGTGGTTCTGCTTAACCTCATCTGAAGGGCCAACAGTTTCTGCTTACGTTTGGGATTTCTTTGAATTCGCACCTTTACAGCTTTTATCACTGCTGGAGTCCTAACAAATCGAGGGCGACCACTTCTTGACCTGTCATCTACACTAGAGTCTTCATTGTATCGTTTGATGGTACGATAAACGAATCTTTTGGTTATATTCAAATTTTTCAGTATATCAAAAAATTTAATTGGCGCGTAATCGCAACTGCAACACGGTCTTTTTTAAGCGTCCACTCCATATGTAAAAATGAGTAAAATTCTAAAAAGTATACAGTTTTATTTTCATGAACAATTCGAATTCAATAAACTTTTTTTGTGGCCAGCATTCTAAAAGAAAAGTTTTTACTGTGTGACAATACTTATGACCTGACTAGGTATATACGTTGGTACGTGGGTGTACATGGGCAGTCTGTTAGCAGCATAAACATTATTTTCTAGACTGGGGTGAATCTTTTTCAGATGTTGTTGTACATCTAGTGTATCCGTGATATTACTGCTATTAGTAGATTACTACAGTACAATCTACTCAATGACTAACATAGGAATGATCAATTATGTGATTTCTAAATATTAAATTGCATTTTTTCTGTTATACAAAACGTATTTGAGTCATCAATACACTGAATAAGACGCAACACGAAGAATGTGAGATAAGGTTGTTGACGCATAAAGTTATTATCAATTCTACTGTAGAAATTCTTTAGATTAGAATTATTACTTACTGGTACTATATAAGACCAAGCAACTGCAGTCATGGAGTTAGTGTATGGTCGTTTGACCGCAGTGTATCTATCAATAATACATTTGCGTTACTTCAACGCATCAAAGGCCATAGATGTAAGTGTTTAATCTATTGACAAACTTACTTTTCTTTCTGTTATTTTTTACGTGTGTATGATTTTGAACGACAGGCCTGTTGGTCTAGTGGTTAGTGACCCTGACTGTTATGCCGGAGGTCGTGGGTTCGATTCCCACCCAGGACAAATGTTTGTGTGATGAGCACGATCATTTGTTCTGTGTCTGGGTGTAATTTATCTATAATATTTATGTATTTAGAAATATATAAGTATGTTTATCAGTTGTCTAGTACCCATAACACAAGCTCTGCTTAGCTTGGGACTAGATGGCGTTGTGTGATAGTTGTGGAATATTATTATTATTATTATTATTTAGTGTTAACAAATTATATTTAAATATTTTGTGTGTGTATATGATTAAGCCGTGGTAGCTCAGATGGTTAGCGCAAGCTGTAAATTTTACAGTACGTAACGCGGGTTCGATCCCCGCCGACACCAATTAAATTGTTAATTGCAATTTTAAGTGTTTATTCTATTGACACACTTACTTTTCTTTCTGTTATTTTCTTACGTGTGTATGATTTAGTGTTAACAAATTATATTTAAATATTGTGTGTGTGTATATGATTAAGCCGTGGTAGCTCAGATGGTTAGCGCAAGCTGTAAATTTTACAGTATGTAACGCGGGTTCGATCCCCGCCGACACCACT